AATTTTTGTGTATATATATATATATATATTTCGACTATTATTTTTACAGCGCTATACAGTGTCATTTTCTCATTGAAAACTGGCACAGAAAGGGATATTTTCAAGGTCAAAATTTTAGAAAACATTATCTAAAAATGAGAAATTGAAATGATAATTTGCGTTATCCAATAAAAGGAGAGGAAACGTTTTGCTTCAGAGCAAAAGATTTGCTTCATGAATCAGAGTTGGGTATCACCGTTAGTTTTTGAACACATTGTGTCAGTGAGACTAAAGGTGCTCCACTTTAGCATACTTAAGGGACTAAATATGCTCGGGCTTATATTTGAGGGACCAAAATAGACCTACCCTCAAAGATAAGGGACAATATTGGCCAAAAACTCGTAAAACGCTCCCTAACAAAGATGATTTCATACCCGAGGGCTCGAATCCGAGACCTTTGGTTAAGAATAAGGGAGTACTTACCACTCCACCACAACGCTTGTCGGTTCTAGTTCTCTATTTTTATAGTGCAAGTCTCTCACATAAGAAAGTTCACGATAGTCAGAGGTAGGGTTGTGCATGGATCGGATCGGATTTACACTCTGTTTGGATCATTGTTCCCCATCGTTTTATAATGTATTGTATCGTATCGTTTTATGAATACAATGTTTGGATAGATTGTATTGTTTGTTATTGTTAAATAATATTTTACTGTTTGGTTTGACTATATCGTATTGTACTGTAACTGATAAGTTTACTAAAATACCCTCAATTGTTTAAATATTAAATTTGTCAAAAATTATGCATACAAATAATTTTAGGAAACAAAACAGAAGAAGGTAAAACACCTTAAGAAAGCAGAACAGATGAGCGAGACAAAAGAAGGCAAAACAAAGGAGCATAGCTAATTAGAATCGAGTTAAAAGCAAATTAGGAGAAAATATAAAACACAAGGCGTTAAAACACCTTTAACGTTGGCGGCAGAAGTTCTGGGAAAAAAATAGGTTATAGGTTGGAGATTTGGAGTTAAAATAGAAAAAAAGGTAAAGGGTAAAATAGAATTGTGGAGTAATAAGTTAGGGCATAATTGGAAAGAATTATAGGAAACAATCCCACCACACCAAATCAGTTGTTTCAAAAAAGGGAACTTTTCATTGTTCCGGAACAATGGATTTAATAATACGGTACAACCAATTTTAATGAAACAATCAAAACAAACATTGTTTTGGGATAACAACACAATACGATACAACGGGGAACAACCATCCAAACAAGCTGTTAGTACATTTCGGATTTTGGATTCTATAAAATGCAATCCGAATCCGATTCGAATTAATATCGGATTTTAAAGTTCGAATCAGTTAATATTTTGGATTTTCGGATCGAATTGTACGTATGATTAAGGACTTTTTCTTTTATTCCTTTTTGCGTTTTCCATTTGTGGTTAGACAAACAGATTTGGTGGTTAGGCAAACACCCTTGGTTCACTTCCTGGTAATAAACATGAGTGATAAAAGAATTGCAACTCTACCCAAGATCATTATCAGCTGTTTGCAATTTTAACAACTTACTAAGTCATTCCAATCCAAATTATGGTAAGACATGAAGCACATCGTAAAGGAGTTATTTGAACCCTATCATTCTTTTTAAATTGGGGAATCAACTGCAAACATCTCCATGAACATCATGTCTAATAAACTGAAATCTTCAACAAGAATTCATTAAGAGTCTGTTTGGAAAGCCACCATGTAATTGAAATTAATGTAATTACTAGGGTAGTAGTTACACAGTTGTGTAATTACGACGACATGTTTGTTTGTCATAATGTAATTACAAATTTACTGTTTGGTTGCACAAGTGTTATTACACAATTAGATTAAATTTTAAATTAAGTAATTATCAAAACTTAAAAGTTAATATAATAAATATATGCCTATAAATTTTTATAAATATAAACAATATTATATTTGGTATTTAAGATGTACACTTTTCGTGAATATACATTAATTTAGTAACCATATATTTATAACTAATATTATAAAAATTATATATTTATATATATTAAATTAATAATATTTAGTTTAGATACCTACAAATAAAAATATACGTTTTGTAAGGACATAATGGAATTCATGTTTGATCAAATAAATTAATATTTTGTAAATATAATGTCATAACTGTAGGCATATAAATTTTATTAGAATTTTGAATATGTAAAATAATTTGGACTATATTTTAAATTCAAGATGTATTGGTCCAAATAAATATATGGGCTAATATATAAATGAATTAATTATATAAGTCCAATATANTAAATAAATACCTTAATCCATTGGGCTAGCCCATTTAACTGGGATAAAGTGATGAGCCCACTTCACTAAGCCCAAGATGACATCTTCCTAGAGGCCCAGTTTGGTGCCACGTGTCAAATGACGTGGCGCGCCAAGTCGAGCGGAAGAGCCAATAGGATCATGCCACGTGTCAAAATGACAAGGCATGCCCAGTCACACTGAAAGGCCAATGAAATCGTGCCACGTGTGCAAGTGACATGTTCTGGCCAATCAAATGCGGCCATGTCACCCTTCAATTTGATTGGTCGGAAAGAGTTTGTTCTTATCATGACTCTTCCCTTCCACAACTATAAATAGGGGTTTTCATAACTCAGAAAAGACACCAGAAGTTATAACAAGAAGCAAGAAAGAGCTCGTGGATCAAACACTGCAAATTCCTCCACAAGTTTCAAGCTTCAAGTTCAAGTTCAAGAACGAAGAAGAAATCAAGTTCAAGTTCAAGAACGAAGAAGAAATCAAGTTCAAGTTCAAGCAATCAAGCTCAAGCTCAAGAACAAGATCATCGTTCGTAACAACAAACATAGATTCAAGATCAAGCTCAAAGGCCCTTGAATTTATTTACTATTGGAAAGGAGAATCAGAGGATTCATAGAGATTGTAACACTCAAATATTCGAAATAAAATACTATGATTGTTGCGATATTTTTCGGTCTTGATTTTATTTTCTCGACGCAAATTTATTGTCTACAATGACATTATTCAAATATTTGACAAAACTAAATTATCAATTCTAACTAAATAAACAAGTAAATTGGAACCATGAATATAACACAGTTTCAAAATTCAAAAAAAAATAGTTTAACATATGTCAAATTCTAACATAATAATAGTAAGTTCCACTGCAACTTAAGATTAAGAAACATGATAAGTTTATAATCACATTCAACAACGAAATTCCACTTTAATTGCATCACTCATTATATGCCAAGTTTGTTAATGACTCATTATTTCTAATATTAGGAGGTGTCGTTTCAAAAAATAAAATATAAGCAATTACATGGAATCACAAGAAGTAAATATAGATAAATAAAAGATAAATAATGTACAAAAAGGTATACTTTAAAATTTCAAAAGAAATTAAAAAGTAAAAATAGAATTAAAATAATTAAAATAATATAAATAAAAAGTTATAAAGAAAATAAATTGAAATAAAAACGAAAAGGAAAGAAACTGAAAAAGCAACCTTGTAATTACACAGTGTAATTACCACCAATTCACCTCCCTTTCAGAATTGGAGAGTGTAATTACACTCCTCCAATTACACCCAATTCCGTGCCAAACTGTGTAACTACACACAAATCCATTTTCAAGGTTGACTTTCCAAACAGGCTCTGATAGATTACACAAAAGAGTTCCAAGTTCCAACTTCTACGGCCATCCCACTCAATCCTGGCACGCTTTCAAGTTCAGCAACACTGCACTTGTCAAAAACGAGAGGATTAGTAAATGTGTATCATGTCAACAGCACATAAGCAGAACTGGGCAGAACATAGTAATGAAGTCTTCAAGCTTTGCTACAGAACAAATCAAAACTAATTTCTTAGCAGTTCCTAAAGCCAAACGCCCCGAATACCGATACATGCACCCAAATAAGGCTTAGTAGCAGTCCGTTCCCTAATTTATTTCATCAATTTCATGATATTATCCATGAAATAAAAGAGAACAAACACTTACTTTAAGCTCTAAGAAAAGGGGGGGGGGGGGGAGAGAGAGAAGGAGTCAGTCTTACCGTCGTCAAGGAGTCCGGTCGTCGTCGATAATAGGAAGTCGGAACATAGAGAAGAGACAGAGGAAGTGACGAGCAGTCGTCTCTAGAAATGAGCAGCAGTCTCTGAGAGAATGAGAGAAGAGAACGAGAAAATGAAATAAGACCTAACTGTTGAATCAAGCATTACCGACAGCTGTGTACAGCTAATTATATGTAATAAATTAGTGGTGTGATAAGTGGTAGTCAAAAATAGTTAGGAAGTTAAGTAGTTGGATTAGTATAAATGTACAGTACTCTTTCATTTGTTAGTTGAGTTAGTGGAAACAGAGCATAACAGCTCATTTTACTCCCATCTGTTTCTTCCTCTTTCTAGCCTTCATCGCCATAGCTCAGAGATGAATCTAGAGTTCATCATGGTATCAGAGCTTGAGTTAATGATCTATATCACTCGAGTCTAACTCCAGATTCATCTTCCTTAATTGTTTCTGCTAGTTACTCATTTGAGCATGAGCAATTGCTTCGATTCCCAAACTTAGGGTTAGATCGATTTTGAGCAATTGACATTTGTGCAATCTAGATTTCTGTTGGCAATGGCGATTACTGGAGAAGATAATGGATCAACTCAAAAAGAGGTAGCGGCAGCACCAGTGATTGTACCGGTGATCGATCAGCATCATCCGCTGTTTCTGCAACCAAGTGACACTCCAGGTAGTTCTCTCATCTCTGTCAAGCTCACAGGACCTGAGAATTACACTTTGTGGAGTAGTACTATGCGTGTTAGTCTGTTAGGCAAAAGTAAGCTAGGGTTTGTAGATGGAAGATATTCGAAAGAAAAATTCCCTCCTATTCTTCATGAACTTTGGGAAATATATAATGCTATAGTTCTATCATGGATTATGAACTCTGTGAGTGCTGAATTGCTAAGTGGCATGGTCTATGCTTCAAGTGCACACAAAGTGTGAATGGATCTCAAAGAAACATTTGACAAGGTCAATGGTTCTAGAGTGTTATATCTGCACAAACAAATTGCAACTCTGGCCCAAGGACTGTCTTCTGTGTCTGCTTATTTTTCAAAATTGAAGGAACTATGGGCAGAGTTTGATGCTCTTATGCCCTGCCCTGGGTGTGGTTGTGAAGAATCGAAGAAATATGTTGAGCACTTTGAGTACCAAAGGTTGTTACAGTTTCTTATGGGTCTAAATGAAACATACTCTCAATCAAGCAATCAGATCTTGAATATGTCTCCTAGACATTCCATAAACAAGGCTTACTCAATGATTATCTCTGAAGAAAGCAGAAGAGCACTGTCCCAGTCCTCTCAAGTTTCTGAAGTTAATGAAGGTACAGCCTTATTCAGCAACAAGGGAACACCAACTGGAGCTTCAATTCAGCTGAATGCAAAAGGAAACCATGGACAAAATCACAGCTATGTGGGAAATGAGATGACAGTCTTGTTTAGTAGCAAAGGAAATGCAAGTGCTAGTTATGGTCAATCTGGAGGAGGAAATCACCTAAATTCTGGCTATAGATCCAAGAGAAACAACCTACACTGTGACTACTGCAACTTCAAAGGCCACACTAGGGAGACTTGTTACAAATTGAATGGGTATCCACAAGACTTTAAGTCTAAACGGAAGGGTGGATTTGGTAATACAGTTAACTATGCTCAGGCCAATGCTGGCAACTATGTGTCTGATAACTTCACTAGCCCTGCACAAGTAGGATCTACAGCTAACTTTGCAGGAGTCTCACAGGTGCAGCAGATGCAGCAAACAAGTCAGAGTCTTCAAACTGGAATTCCTCAATTCACTCAAGACCAGTACAACCAGATTCTTCAACTTCTAGGAAAGCAACCTGAGTGCAGTGGCTCTGCTATGGCAGCAGGTATGCCATTTTGTGGTGATATTACTAAAATTCTGACAAAATGGATTGTAGACTCAGGGGCTTCAAGTCATATGGTGAATGATTCTAGCTTGTTGATTAATGCTAAATCAGTTGATAGCAAAGGTGGAAAAGTTCACTTACCTACTGGTAGTGTTACTCATGTTAGTCACATAGGGTCTGTTGCTTTCCTTAAGGACCTAATAGTGTCTAATGTGATGTATATTCCTGACTTCAAATACAACCTTCTATCTGTGTCCAAGCTCACAAAGGAAATGAGATGGGTTGTTATGTTCTTCCCTGATTTCTTCATTTTCCAGGAGCTCTTCAATGGACAGGTGAGGGGGATTGGTAAAGAGGAAGATGGACTGTATGTATTCAACTCTACTCCAAAGAAGTCAGTGGCACTACAAAGTCAAGGTCAAGGTTCAGTAGCAGACATCTTGAATGGTCCAAGGCAAATAAACTCTGTAAATACAGTAAAGGTTCCAAATAAAGTAGTGAGTATAGCTGTGTGGCATAAGAGATTGGGTCATGCACCCCTAGATACTTTGTAGAAACTAAAAGGCTCCTATGATTTTCAGTCTGTTGAATGTAGTAGTAAAGACAAACATTGTACAATATGTCCCTTAGCTAAACAAACAAGACTACCTTTCTCTCTTAGTTCTACATCCTCAAAATCATGCTTTCATACAATTCATGCTGATGTTTGGGGTCCTTATAGAGTCCCTACCTATGATGGAAAAAGGTATTTTCTGACCTTGGTGGATGACTGCTCTAGGTATACATGGATTTTCCTTCTACCTACTAAAGCTGAAGTTGTTGTTGCTCTGAGGTCTTTCTTTGCTATGATTAAAAATGTACACTCAACATCTGTTAAGTTTTTCAGATCTGACAATGGGCGTGAATTCTTCAATTCTTATATGTCAGAATTACTACAATCTCAGGGGATTATACACCAAAGTTCATGCATTTATACTCCTCAGCAAAATGGAGTTGTTGAAAGGAGACATAGGTATATTCTAGAGGTTGCTCGAGCACTCAGATTTCAAACTTCAGTACCATTAAGGTTCTGGGGAGAATGTGTGAGTACTGCTGTATATATCATCAACAGACTCCCTTCAACTGTTCTTCACAACAAAACACCTTTTGAGATTCTGGTTGGGCATTCACCCTCTTTACAACATATGAGAATCTTTGGATGCTTAGGCTATGTCTCTACAGTTAGAAGACCTGACAAATTTGCTCCTAGAGCATATCCTGCAGTTTTCCTTGGTTATTCTGCTACACAAAAAGGATATAAAATGTTTGTTCTTCACACAAAGGAGTTTCATATCAGCAGGGATGTGGTGTTTATGGAGGATATCTTTCCTTTTCAGCACTTGAATTCTTCTACCTCTTCCTTATTTCCTGTTTTAGATACTTCAGCTATTCCATCAAGTAGCCCTGCAGATATTCAGTTCCAACCTGTGTCTTCTTTTCCTTCTTCTCCTATTTCTCCCCATTCAGCTGGTCCTTCTATACCTCTTTCCCCTGTTGCTGCTCTTCCTGCCTATCATGTTGCTGCTGATGATTCCACAGTCCATGATCTTTCTGTTCCTCCTGATGCTGAGTTACATGATGCCACAAGAAAGTCCATTAGGGTCAGCAGGCCACCCATATGGATGAAGGACTATATTGTTCCTAGTAAAGGAAGTGCCCATTGTTGTTATCCATTATCAGATTGTGTCAGTTATGCCAATGTGTCACCTTCTTTTGGGGCTGCCTTAGCTGCCTATTCAGCCATTGTGGAGCCTAAGTCTTACACTGAGGCTGTCAAAGATGCCAAGTGGGTTGAGGCAATAAAGTGTGAGATATCAGCATTGGAGGATAATCACACCTGGACAGTGGTTGATCTGCCTCCTGGGAAGGTTCCCATTGGATGTAAGTGGGTGTTCAAGGTGAAATATACCTCCTCAGGTACAGTGGAAAGGTACAAGGCTAGGCTTGTAGCCAAAGGATATAGCCAGCGGGAGGGGTTGGACTACACTGAGACTTTTTCTCCTGTAGCCAAAATGGTTACTGTCCGGTCAGTTCTTGCTATTGCTGCAGCCAAGCATTGGGCCATCTTTCAAAAGGATGTGCACAATGCTTTCCTTCAAGGTGACCTACTTTAAGATGTTTACATGGAGGTTCCTCCAGGGTTTGCTAGCCAGGGGGGAAGCACAGTGTCTGCAAACTCCATAAGTCTCTATGGGCTTAAACAAGCTCCTAGACAATGGAATAAGAAGCTAACAGATGCCTTACTACAGCTCGGATTCACTCAAAGTCACTTTGACTATTCATTGTTCACCAGAAAAGTGGAGTCTGAGCTAATAGTGGTGCTTGTCTATGTGGATGATTTACTTGTAACTGGGAGCAGTCAAAGATTGATTCTTCAAACCAAAAATGACCTAAAGCTGAAGTTCAAAATGAAAGACTTAGGTGAACTTAAATTCTTCCTTGGAATAGAATTTGCTAGGTCATTTAAAGGCATTGTGATGAGTCAAAGAAAGTATGCCTTGGAACTCATTGCAGAAATGGGTCTTAGTGGTGCAAAACCTGCTGGTACACCTTTGGAAGCAAATGTAAAACTCACATCTGAAGAATATGACAAGTTCATTCATAATCAGTCCTCTCTTGAAGTAGAAGACAAGTTGTTAGCAGATGCTGGAAAATATCAAAAGGCTAATAGGCAGATTACTGTATCTTACTATGACCAGAATGGATATTGCATATGTGGTGCAAGTTCTAAGTCAATACATGCACAAACCAAAGCAGTCACACATAGAAGCTGCATTGCGAGTAGTGAGATATATCAAAGGTTCTCTTGGGCTTAGTCTTCTAATGCCATCTGGAGACTCAGGTAAACTAGAAGGCTTTTCTGACTCAGACTGGGGAGGATGTCTACAGACCAAGAGATCAGTTACAGGTTACTTGGTGAAGTTTGGGGATGCATTGATTTCGTGGAAGTCAAAGAAGCAAGAAACTGTAGCAAGGAGTTCTGCAGAAGCAGAGTTCAGGAGCATGGCCTCAGCAGTGGCTGAACTCACATGGCTTACATGGTTATTCGAAGAGTTAGGGGTGGATGTTGAGCTACCCATAACTCTTAATTGTGATAGCAAAGCTGCTAGTCAAATAGCAGCCAACCCTATATTTCACGAGAGAACCAAACACATTGACATTGACTGTCATTTTGTTCGCGAGAAGTTAGTGCAAGGTCCGATCAAAACACATCATGTGCCCACTAAGGAACAGCAGGCTGATCTTCTAACAAAGACTCTTGGTCGAGTGCAGCATGACTACCTAATGTCCAAGCTAAAGTTGAAAGATATCTTTCAACCATTAGCTTGAGGAGGGGTGTTGAATCAAGCATTACTGACAGCTGTGTACAGCTAATTATATAAAATAAGTTAGTGGTGTGATAAGTGGTAGTCAGAAATAGTTAGGAAGTTAAGTAGTTGGATTAGTATAAATGTACAGTACTCTTCCATTTGTTAGTTGAGTTAGTGGAAACAGAGCATAACAACTCATTTTACTCCCATCTGTTTCTTCCTCTTTCTAGCCTTCATCACCATAGCTCAGAGATGAATCTAGAGTTCATCACTAACCTAACCCTAAAACTAAAATTAGTATTTATACTTTGCCCTAATAAATTCGGATCGGATCGGATCGGGTTAAAACTATACAAATTCGAATCCAATCGAAAATTCGGAAATTTAATAAACAAAATTCGAATCCGATCCAAATATCCAAAATCCGAAATCCAAAATCCAAAATCCGAAATTGAGCGGATCGGTTCGAATTTCGAATATCCGATCCAAAGACACAACCCTAGTCAGAGGTCCGTTCATTTGGTTAATTCTCACCAAACATATATTGACATGTTAACTCTAGTGAATTAAATGTATCCTCTATATGATCAGAGAAATAAATAGGAACTACGAACGTTGGTGAAACCAATTAAATCATATATATATATATATATATATATATATATATATATATATATATATATATATATATATATATATATATAT